TTTCATACACATATCTATTGAAATGTATTTGTTTGTATAAATTAATATTAATATAAAGTATTTTAGTTTCTAATGATTTGCATAAAATTATTTTATGATTATTTACTCCATACAAGTGTTATGCCAAACCTGTTCGGTGATCTAAATAATAAAAATCTAAATTATATTTATTTAAGTAAATAAATACTAATAAATTATTTGTTAATTTGATTGTTATTATTATTAAATAAAATTATTACAAAAACAAAATTAATTAAATTATTAGTTAATCTAATAGGTTTTTAAAAACAATATTTACAGTATAATCAGTTATGCCATTTATTTATGCAAATATACTATTAATCCGAAACAAACATTTATTAATTGAAATGTTTCGTAATTTTATTTATGCTTAAATAATTTGAGTTCAATTGTAAGTAATTTTGAAAATTTCAATAAATGAATGCAAGTTTTGGTGATTTTTATTTAATGTATGAAAATGTGATTACTTTTGAGATGTGCTCCAATCGTATGCTTTGAATCAAAAATTCTAATTAATGTCACTTTAATATCAAGAAAATGAATATTTAATGCAAAATAAATTATTTGCTTTACATTCACTCTTAGGATCAAGAAAATGTGCAGTCATTTACATTTAATTAACTATTCTATTGTTATTAATTATTAATCACACTTTAAAACTTGTTATTTATTTCAAATAAAACTTTTATTTGTTAGACGAGTAAATCATAAATTGATTTTATGTCAGAGAAGTAAATATAATTATCTCATATTTATGTGATTACCAGTATTTATAGAAAATTCTTCAAGTTTAAGGTATTTTGTTACGGCAAATATATTTTGTAACTATTATTCAATTAATATGAGCCTCATTTGAAATCTATTTGTGATTTATTTAAATTCCAATAATTAGTGCAGGATAATGTTTATTCAGAATAGCATTATAATTATTATTATTTATTTATTCAAAACCTTTTCAAATTAATTATTAAAATAACTGTATTATAGATTCATAACAAGTTATAAAAGCTACAAGTTATAACTTACATTTATTTATGTAAAATATTATATTATATTCAAATCTATATTTCAAATTTGAGTACAATATTGATAGTTTATGTAAACAGTATATTTATTTTAAAAATTTGATGATTATAATTACAGTATAATTTTTATGAATAAAAGTTATGCACTTTTTGCAAACATATAATATTTGCAAACTATGTTTAATGAAAAAAACCACTCAATTGTAATGATTACTTGATTTTTTGAATTAATATCACGTAGAAATTTGAATTAATATTTAAATTTATATACAATTTATATAATTGAAAATAATGTTTAATAATATTGAAAAAATTAATTAAATAAGAGTTGAATAAATAAAAGTTCTTTCGTAAATATATTAAAAATAATATATGTAAAAAGTGCATAATAACAAATAATTTGGTTAATTTTAAAACAGCTATTAAATGACCATTAAATAGTGAAAAATATAATTGTAGTAAATATTAAAATAAATATCATTTCCCTTTTGTTCGGTCATAATATAATAGAAAAGCCTTGACTTTAGTCGATATACACCACTGATTCTTATCTAAAGTTAAAAAGCATAACTTAATATGATAAATAATATTTAAAAATGTAAACTACTTTATATTCATAATAATTGTATCGGACGTTGATTTGTCCGATTCATGTCATTCCGTCAAAACTTGTAAATAGGATTAGTTTAAAACAAATAGTTTGTAGTCATTAGCGATCGTAAACTTAAATTAGTCTTAACTCATCTCATCTCATGTCTCGGATATTTGAGTGCAAACCGAATAAATGTCTATTATTTGTGGTTTTATATTAATCTTGTGTATCATTTACTCGAAAAAGTCATCAAAAAGATATTTATTAAGACATGAAAGCCTTTCAATGTCTATTATTTCTCATTATTGTGACACTTAATGTGTTTTGTCAACAATTGGGTCCATTTGTTGAGATTCTGTAAGTATATCTGAATATTTCATGAAATTATTTGAAATTCAATTACTTTTACATCATTTGATGTCAATCTGTCAGACGAAAGGGTCGGTCGAGTCGTAACGCCAACTGGAAAATGGATGAGATATTGCCTTCAGATTATAATTATTTAATCGCACCGGTAGTTAATAACACGGCTGTAGAAGTAGAAGTAGCCGTCTCTGTGCTCTCATTTCGAGCCATCAAAGAGAAATCATTGGTAACTAAACTATTATAATATAACTTACATTTAAAGTTTGAGGCAATATTGAAAGATTATAATTAAAGCTTTTTTCTAATACACCTCTCGGAATATCCTATCAGATATATTATATTACAATAGCATGAAAACTGACTAGCAACTTTAATAATTATATGATTTACAATATTAGAATAAGGGAATATGTAATTTATAATTGTAAGACAATATATGAAAGCATTTATATCAAAACCAGAATGACATCTTTTATAACAAACAACAGTTTTTGCATCTTACCAATACTCACATAATATTCATGTTTTAAACAAATTAGTTTTTAACCTTATGTATTTATTAGTGAAAATATGAACATTATATCATTTATATAATTTATATGTGAGTATTGATAAGATGCGAAAACTTCACAATATTTGCTTTAAAAGATCTGATTTGGGTTTTGTTATAAATACAGTACTTGCATATATAATATAATTATATAATTATGAATTAACCACTAAATGACAACATCTAGTCGTTCGCAGTCGAGATCTTCTTCCATCAGTTTTGGTCTGATATAAGACTACGTTTGCCGACAGGAGTTGACAACAAAACCAAATTACGTCTAAACAAGAGCTGGAAAGACAGGCTCTGGACACCCGACACTTACTTCAGAAATGCAATCGACGGCTCAGTTTCCAATATAATGGATCCCATCATCTATTTTACAATTGAAAATCAGACCAAAGTTTTTATGGGCGTTAAACTCATTCTTGAGTTCAGTTGTGACATGAATTTTGCTAAATATCCTTTCGATACCCAGAGATGTAGTCTCGAGTTATCCAGTTGTGAGTATAACTTATTTTTTTAATGTTTACTATTATTTTTAATTTAAATCATTTAGTGAGTCATTACTTATTTTGTCTAATTTATTTATAAATATACTGTACTGTACGGTATAAGTTGCCAAAAATACAAGTAAATAACATATTTTTTATAAGCAAGATTTCATTTATTTTTTTAATGTTAATTATTTTGAAAATAATAAATACAGAAAAATAAATGTATAAGATTGTAACATGTATATGATATTATATAATACTGTAAATGATTAACTATTTGAAAAGATAATATTTATTAGTTTTACTACAATTACTAAACATAATTTGGCCATGTTACTTATTATATTTCTTGTTACATTTTTCTTCAAATATTACATTATATGCATTATATATTTTATTATTCTCAATTCTTAATTAATATATATTTATATTTTCAGTTTCAAATCCTATTGAAATATTAACATATAAATGGAAACGATTTCATTTAAAAAAACAAATATTTTTGCCTCAATTCGATATTACAAATATTGAAACACAAAATTGTGTCAAAATATATGATGACATTGGTATGAATTTATATTTTTATTGTCTTTAAACTAATAAACTAGTCTTATCCTTTAGTCTTATATATTTATAGTTTATAATATCAAGATTAACTTTATAAATTATAAAAGTTATCAAATTAAGTTAATTAAATATCTTTAATATTCAATTGAATACAATTAAATACAATGTTTAGTATTCAAAGTCATCTCTAAGCTAGTTCCTTATTAAATTTATTTATAATCTACTGTAATAAAATAGTTAACAAAATATTACATAAATATTGACTATTAATTTATCATGAGTAAATATAGTTATAACTTATAACTTATAAATTTTTATGAATAAAGTGTTAATAATTATAACTCAATTATTTTACAATTTAAAATATTTTGATTATTTATTTTACCATTTATTAATATATTTAATGATAATGTTTATTCAAGTAACTGTGGGTGTCTACAATATTTAGTGAATCTTCTATTATTAATTTTATTTATTTATTTATAAACTGATGTCTAAATATATAAGGTTAATTGAATCCTAATAATAACTCAAAATATTGTAAACTAATTTCATATTAGACTAATAGTATTATGAATAAAAGTCAGTTTGTTATATATTTTTAGATTACCAAATATAATATTATTAATAAGGATTTGCATTAATAAATAAATTAGATTTTAAGAAAATTAGATACTAAACACTAAATGATCAGTTTTGTCTTACATAGATATTAATTAATAATAAGTTATTTTTATGAACTTAATTGTAATTACAATCAAATATAAGTAAACAACACATTAATCTCAATTTAGGGACGCATTCGTGTCTGAGAGCGAGTCTAACATTTCAGCGAAATGTGGGCAACTTTATTATAAAACGATTTATTCCCAGTTTTTTAATAGTCATCTTAACATTCATTGGTTTCTGGATACCGACGTCTGCATACCCGGCCAGAGTTGGTCTCTCTATCACAGCTCTATTGGCTCTGATTGCACAGCAGTCTCAGGAGGATCTGAACGTCTCATACATATATGCTATGAGTGTCTGGATGTTTGTTTGCATCAGTTTTGTTTTCGCTACTTTAATTGAGTTCTCATTTGCCATTTGTGTCATTCAAACCGCTAATTCTGATGACAACCCAAACACACAAATTAAAGAAAATACAAAAAATAACATTTTAAAGAAGATCTTCACTTTTATCATTAAATCTAACGCACGAAACAACAACATTGACTTGTATTCAAGAATAATATTCCCTGTTTTATATATAATTGTTATTTCTATTTATTTAGCTGTTTATGTTTATTAAATAGTTTATTTTTTCTAAAATGTCTTATTTTCAAACATTAATGTAGTTTTCGTAATGTAATATAATTAGTAAGTTAAGAACTTAATAATGAATTTCTAATTTAATAATCTACTTTAAGTTCTGTACAGTATATATTCTGTCTGTATATATTTACTTCAATTATGTATAGTATTTTCACTGTAATCATATTATATAAGACTATAATATTATTATGATCCTAATGTATGCAATATATTGAATAATATTTTTGCTACATATCCTGTACTTGAATGTTGAATAATATACTAAATATATTTAGTTCACTAATTCTCGTCAAACACATCACTACTCGTGAGTCTCCTTAAAAGCTATTCGTATTTACATTTGTAGTATTGACTGTACTATCAATGAATTTTTGTATTAAATTACATTTATCTTCAAATTAAATTCTTTGATTTATAAATTAAACATAAAGATATTTTTGATGGTTATATTAATGACTTTAGTTTCATTATAGTGTGAAAATCATCGTTAAAATTGGTTTTACTAAATATTTGTTCAAAGAATTTTACAGATATTTTACACTTCAACCGACAGTTTGTAAGGATTAATGCTTTAAGTTACAGAATATACTATAATGTAGTGTATTATGTATTTATAGAATAAGTGTTTGTATAATGGAGAAAACTTCATTAACCCTTAAGAGTTTACAAATTTCACTTTACTTCTACTATTAACTGTAAGTCTCTTTGTTTATATAATTTATCAGTATATTGAAATTTATTGCCTTAATATATAGCTATTTTATTATTTTTAAATAATTTGCAAAATTATTTTTTATAAATACTTAATGTGCTGTTTGATGTTTTTATTTTATTTTATTTGAAATTCAATTTCTAAATTCAAAGACCCTGGGAGTATTCCTATTGATTTTTATATTAAATATAATTCATTTTATTTTGCAATTAATTTTCAAAATATTGATTTTTCTTTTAAGAAAACTACAAATTCTTGGAATGAACTTATTTTGTGATTTTTGTTTCAAAAGTAAATGCTAATTAAGAATATTCTAAATATTCTCTTCAAGTCACTAATTAATCACAAATGTATTGCAATTAATCCTCAAAATATATTTGTTTTTTGACATGTATATTTATCATTTAATTATAGAAATAAATAAAAAATAATTAAAACTTAAAGTAATTTAAATATAACTACTTAATAAATTTTCAAACGAATTACTTTTAGTGAAATATTTATTTTTAAGCTTTGATCTAAAAAACGAGTCGTTTCCGAAAATTCTGAGTTAAAAATAATAATAAACAAAATTTATTCAATAGTTTTCGGCTAACGTGTTTCAGTTATCGTGTTTTTGGCTAACATTCAAACCAGTGATTCATTTATTAGTCAAACAATAAGATTATTATTTTATTATGGCTTAAGCGCTGTGAAAGTGAAGTTCAAGACAAGTTTAATAATCTTATTATTATTTCTTAAAATATATTTTTTGTGAATCACAATAGAATTGACTTTTAAATAACAGGAATTTAATGAGATTTTTTATTTTGGTATTTTATTAATTATTATTTTTATAAATTACATACATCTTAATAATTTATTGTTGTTTCTATTTAATATTATTAATAATAGTGTTATAAAATGTATTTTGTTAATATGACCAATATGATGTTAATGGAATTTAAATTTAAATTATTTTTATTATAAAGATTATTACACAAATTATTGGCATACTCTAATGATTGACTTTATATTGATTTTCAGTTAAATGGCTATTAAATTATCTTTTTGTTTGTCGTTAACTTTATTAACATTTATATCACCTCTATTTGAATGCTCGATCGAAATGTAAGTCAAATGTTTATTTTATGCTTAATATTAAATATACTTTTATTATCATAAGTAGTCCTGAAAATCACAATTCAATACTATCTCACAATTATGACCCAACGATTCCTCCCATATTAAACGGTATGTCTCTCTCATTTTGAATACATTTTGCATTTACTCTATTTGTAAATGAAATACATTTTTGAATTATGTGTGAAAAATATGCAACAAATACAGGAAAGCCTGTGAGAGTGGATGTCTCAGTATTTGTGCTCAATATTCGATCCATTAAAGAGACAGAACTTGTAATTAAAAAGTTTTCAATCATTAAAATGCATTTTTAAAAATTAATTAGTATTTATTTTGCAGACATATGTTGTTGACATATTTTATCACCAATACTGGAATGACCACAGAATCCAAGCCTTGCATCCAAACAATTCTCAACCCATTGTTTTGGATAACAGTTGGAAGAGGAAGCTATGGGTTAGAAATTGTTAAACAAATTATAGTTTAAGTGAAAATACTTAAAGAAAGACGAGAAGAATATTTTCTTAGTTTTGTATATTTTTTTGTTTTTAAGCTTGGGTGTTTATTTTCTTTTAGATACCGGACTCGTACTTCAAGAATGCATTGGACGGTCACGTGCCCGACATTATATTCCCCACTCAGTACTTTACCATCACTAATACAACCAGAGTTTTTATGGCATCCAGGTACCATTTTTCCATTTACTTACTAGTTTGTGAAATTTTACTGATTTTCTAGAAAATTATAATAAATATAACATAAATATTTTATTTCATTTATATAATAATAATAATAATAATAATAAAATAAAAATTCTACAGAATATCCCTTCAGTTAAGCTGTGAAATGGAGTTTTCAAAGTTTCCGCACGACTCACAGGAATGCTTTATTGACATTATGTCGCGTAAGACATTATATCTTATATGTTATATAATATCAAGTACAGTCATTTATATTATGTAATAATTTTATAAATATTTTGTTCGTATGATTGCATTATATCACGACCTACAGTTTCTCACAACACGGATACTGTCGTTTTGTTTTGGAAAGAGTTTTCACTCACTAAACGACTTTACATGTAATTCAATTTAAACTCACCTTTTGGATTCAGTATACAATGTGTACTGTATCATTGTTGACATATTTGCTAAAATATTAATAATTATTTATATGAAATAGGACTCAATACACTGTTTCAGAATCTTCATCCGAAAATCTATTTAAAAAATATGATATAGGTATTTAATTTATAATAGTTTTATTTAATAAATATTTCAAATTTAATAGTTGCTTGTTAACATTTAGGCAAGTTCTCGATGCTCAGGGGTAGAATAGTACTGACCCGTCAATTAGGTCTCTATGTGCTCAAGAATTATATCCCAAGCGCTATAATAGTAATCATGACTTTCGTTGGCTTCTGGATCCCCATCTCGGCCTACCCGGCCAGAGTGGCACTCGTAAGTAATTTTGTATTTACTCATAATATTTATAAATGTTTTAAAATTAAAATTATTATAAGAAATGTCATAAATACAATATATTCATAATATATAAACCTTATTTGATTGTAATGGATAGTATATAATTGCAATTAAATGTAGAATATTCTCTAAAATTAGGTCATAACAGCCCTATTGGCTCTCATTACACAACAGTATCAGAGCTCTCAAGTGAACGTCTCGTATATAATAGCGATCAACGTTTGGATGATTATATGCATTGCATTTGTATTCTTGGCTTTAATTGAATACGCGTTTGCCATCACATATCACGACAACATCACCGCAAAGGCCAATAAAATTAAAGCTCAAAATCATAATCATGTGAGACATCAGATTTATTATCATTTCGATTTGATATTTCTATATATTTGTATCTCATGTAACAGAATATGAATGCGAATACGAATGAACCCAAAGATAATTTAAATGTCGACCCAAATGTCAATTCAAAGTGGTTTAAAGTGTATGCAATCACTGGCTTTAATAGTAAAGTCAATCGCATCGATCAGATCTCTCGATATCTCTTTCCATCGGGTTTTGTCTTCTGTGTTGTCATATATTTATTGAAATATGCAATGAATTGAAATGTATCCATATATTCATATCTAATATAACATTATTTGTTATAAAATAAAACATTTAAATTATTTACCCATTGATTGATTGATTGAAATTATTTATTTATCAACAAACGGAATTCCGTTCAGTGACAAACACTGGTCCCCATTATGGAAGATATGTTCATTAAGACAACCACTCAATAGATCCCGAGATTTGATAGAAATGAATACATTCATAAGAAGAACGGGTAGTTTAGTCACCGATAGTATAGTTCTTATTAAAATTAATTAATTAAATCTACAATATTATAAATCATATATTGAATTAAACTAATAATTTGGTTGAGTTTACGATTTAAATCTTGAACCAATTAGCTGTTTATTTTTTGTCCGTATATTATTGATTTCTAAATTTAAATCAAAATCTAATCAAACAAAAAATCATTTAATTCATTTTAATTCATACGAAAATTTTTAATTCATTTAATCTCTCAATTTTGTTATAACAACTCCTGATGAAGGCTCCCATTAGGACCGAAAGTACTCGAGTTTAAGATCTAATAAATATCATTAAATTATCACTAAGTCTAAAGAGTTATTTAATTTCATATTTAATCCAAAAAATGATTTATTTATTTTTAAAAAATACAAATTTGTACAGTTACATTATGTATTAATGTACAGATAGACTGTAGGATCCAATCCACGGGTCAATCCTTAAAATGTTTTCAAATATGATATGAGTTGTGAAAGTTATGGAATATAAAACCCAATGTATTATTGAATGCATGCATGCATTGAATATGGCATTTAAAAATACATTGTTTGTTCCGTTTGTTGTCTGGGTCAATTTAATTCAAATTATTATTACTATATTCTTATCATTTGAAATTAAACTCTTAGACTCTAAACCAAAATGCATTCATTGGTTACTCTTTTATTTTATATTTATACGATCACAAGCATTGGTCACTCCTTAGTATATGATAACACAATTGGATCCGATGAATGGTTACAAATGCCTCAATTTGGTCCCAAAGATTTCTGTCAACTCGGAGCCATTGACTATATTTTCAATTACAATCACAAAGTGTGTGTGACTTATGGGAACTTTATGTGGACTTACGATCAAATAATTACCGGACAGACGGATCAGCCTTTGAATCAGGAAAAGACTTTTGGTATTAATTGACATAAACTCATAGAGTATTTATTAAAAGAATTATAATATTGATAATAAACAGGCCATCAATTGGTCACTAGCATCCATATCACTTTCCCAAATGTCCCTAAATGTCTCATCAATGCATCCAATTGTATAGACTATCAAAAGGCATTGAATATGTCTTTTTTGATTATATATTCAGATAATTATGAATTTATAAGCGAAAGACTGGACTCTAATGGAGAGATTGTTACAAATCCTGAGGATATGCCGTGGAATATAAGTAGTAATGCATTTGATATCTGGCCACACATTATGTCAAACAGTTTGGGATTTATTGGAGTTTATTGGCCACAAAAGTATGAAATTATATTTCTTATAGACAATGGATATGAAGACACATCAGCTCTAGTTTATAATGATATCAAAGACAAGAATTGGTGGAAACCTCAAAACCTCAAGAGAAGTCCCATAAGAAGTAATGTATTCTTCAATGGTTTGTTTCATTTAAATGAAAGTATTTATGCGATCGGAAACTTTGAGGTTTACAAGTTACATGTCAATGAATTGGGAGAAATGAGTTTAATTAATACGGTATAATACATTGTCAACGTAAATATATGTTTAATTGTAACTAAATTGCATTTTTATATTTGAACTACAATTAGGGTCAAAGTGTTTATTATTTTTTTGGTTGCACTCAAAGTTTTCTTGAGACAAACAAACAAACAGATATCAATGATCCGGTTAATGCCGATCGTATTATAGATGAGACACAACTGATGAGAAAGAGCTCATTGTCTAAGCAATTGGATGAGACGGACGTTACTGAACCAAGAGGTATGACAACTCCAGCAAAAATATCCCTCGCATTGGCCGGTCTTGTTGTCTTCATTGGATCCGTTATCGTGCTAATCGTTTTTATAAAATGTAATTTATTTATACCGTAATTATTAGATAAATGTTTTATTCTTAATACGAAATGAATTTAGACTGTTTAGAGATTATCAAGAATCCGGTCAAAACAGGTATCATTCGACACCCGAGGGTTGTCGAAGAAGGTGCTGACAAAAGATTAAACAACAGATTAGATGGTATTCAATTGATAATTAATATTTTGCAATACCCTTAATGAGATTTATTGAATATATTAGTCAAAAGAAAATCAAAACCTAATAAACTAGAAGTCAAAGAAGAGAAGTCTCAAAAGTCTGAGAGAAGTTTCAGCACAAGAGGTTTTAATGACATAAACGAGCCCATCTATATCAACAAAAATATGAAACCCGAGTCCAGTGAAAGTCAACTCTTATTTGTTAACTCAATGTCCAGCAAAAAGACTTTCGAAGAAGAAGAAGAAGGTTCGCTCAAAGATACTAAAAACACATGAAAAGATAAATAAGAAAATTATTACAAACAAATTATATTGATATCTAAATTAGTGATTTTTCTATATTCCGTATATAGTGTTTGATTGCATAATTAGTTAAAAATAAGCTTTATATTCTTTTGATTTAAATTTTAAATGTAATTAAATTTAAAACTA